CAGGGGGAGGCTCTGCTTGGCTGCCTCAGAGCAGCTGGACAATCCGGGCTGTCAGGGCAGCAGGGGGCCAGCAGGGCCCCTTCAGGAACTAAACTTCTTTCACAATGGGGTGGGGGAGGTGGGGTCACTGCAGTGGGGGCCCTGGAGGCCTCCTTCCTGAGCCCCAATGACCACTGTCCCAGAACAGCTGCTGCCAGGCTGAGCAGGCCCTGGCGACCCAGACCACACCCAGAGCCTCTGCCAGGTGCTGACCCCTCGGACCCACCCTTCCACCTGGAGTCTCCCCCACACCTGCCCACAGGGTTCACCCCCTCACTGGTCAGAGGGGAACCGGCCCCACTGGAAGGGGCCTGCGCACCCGTCCACCCAGGGCCCTCCGTTCTGGCCTGCCTCCCAGAGAACCCAGTTCCTTGTGCCTTGGCTGCCCAGAACATCAGCTGGGCCCAGGGTCCTGGAACCCCCAGCCCTTCACTCCTCCGGCTGTTGGATAAGACCCTACAGGACCAAATCACCTGAGGGCCCTCAGGGGACCCCTGTGGGGTCCTGGCCTTCCCGGGACAGCAGGGCCCCCCGTGGGATCCACCTGTCAGAGTGCAGATTGTATATGCACTGGGCCACCAGGGACAGCACCAGTGCCTCTGGGTCCCTGCCACCTGTGGCCACACCAAGAAGCGCCCACACCTGGGCAGGGCTCCTGGCAGGGCTGGGGGCTGCGGAGCTCCAGGGCCGGGGACGTGTAGGCGGAGGACTCAGTGGAGCCCGAGGCTGCCGAGGGCCCTTGCTCCACCCGCAACAGACCCCCCTCAGCAGGACCAGCAGGACCGAGTAGGAAGACCTCCCCTGAGCCCTGGTCCCTCCTGCTGGGTGCTGGGGGTGGGGGTGGGGGCCGGAAGTTCCTCTGGAAACCCTCCCAGGGCTGAGGGCTGGTAGGAGGGGCTCCCCCTCCCTCCCCACCGACCCAACCCTGGGTCCAGCCTCACTCTCCTCTGCTGCCCTGGTGGCCTGGGGTGGGCAGGTACCCAGCTGGGACTGTCCCAGACCCCACCCCGCACCCAGCAGGCCCCTGGGAGGTGGAATGCGGCCTGGGGCTCCTCTGCCCGCCCGGCCCTTTGCCCAGGTGTGTCCTGTTCTGAGTGGGTTTGGGAGGGGAGGGGGGACGTAAAGACCATCTTCCCGGTTAACCCCACGGACAGGACTGAAAGATCACGTGTGTGGAGGGTCGGGACATTACACCCCTGGTTACCAAGAGCACCCCCCCCACCACCACACACACACACACACACACACACACACAGGGGAGGGCGCTTTCCCAAAGCGCTTCTTACCTTCGAGCTAGACTCACGGAAGGACTAACATGGTGCTAAAATATGGCCCCTTCCTCCCGCGGTCATCTCAGGGGGGAGGCAGCCACCTCCCCCCGTTACCACCCGCGGGGCTGACTCCGTGGGTGGGGCGGCAGCTCATCTCTGAACGTCTGCCAGCCCTGACTGCGCCCCTCCAGCTTCAGCCCACATCAGTGCCCTTTCGCATTCGGGGGTCTCTCCTTCAGAGGGTGCGGGGGGCACGACGCGGAGGAGGCCGGGCGGAAGGTGCCTGGAGGAGAAAGGAGCCCCCGGGAGGGGCG